TAAAATAAGAGAATGAATGCAACATCCCACTGGAAGCTGAACCCAGACTATTTCTTAAAGCTTCCTGGGTGATTTCAAAGGGCAGCAAGGTTGGGAACCTGTACTGTACCATGACCTAGCCTGTTATCTCCCACTTTGTTCTATTAAGTGGCTTTGCCTTACCTTGAACATGTCAGGCATACATGTGTCCCTGTTTTTGCCCTACCCATTTCTTCTTTCTGGAACACTCGTCTTTTATAATCCTTATCTAACATTCGAGTCTGCACAGAACTTCGCCTTCTAAATGAGGCTTACTCTGACCACCCTATTACTACTGTGGCTGTCATTCCTAACATTAGATTCCTGACTTACGCTTACTGTTCATTATTTGTATCCATGCTAGAATGTAAGCTCTATGAAGGCAGAGGACTTTGTTTGCATGCACTTTCAGACTAAGCACCTAGCACAGATTTAGGAGTGCAGTGGTACCTCAGTTTGCGAACGTAATCCGTTCCAGGAGACTGTTCGAGTTCTGAAATGTTTGAAAACCGAGGGATCAACAGCCAACAGCTGGGCCTCAGGATCGTGCCCTCAGCAGAAGCCGTGTGGCATGTTTGACTTCTGAGGCGTGTTGGAAAACCAAAGCATTTACTTCCAGGTTTACGGTATTCGTAAACTGAAATGTTCGCCAACAGAGATGTTCGAAAACTGAGGTACCACTGTATTATCTTAAGATTCTGTGACCTTTTAGTGCAGGGGTGGGGAATGTCCACAGCCCTGCCAAGGCAAACTACTGCAGGTGGGACTTGAAATTCAATAAATTTAGCTTTTTTCATAGCTAATTTTTAAGTTGATTATTTTGTATGACCCATGAATGGTGTTATAAATATCCAAATGGCCCCTGGCAGAAAAAAGTTTCCCCACCTGTTTTAGTGTAATATGGTAGCCACTAGTCACATATGTCTAGTCTAAATTGAAGTTGTAAAATACTGGAGATGTGGAAAGTGAAGGAGCCACTCACCAACATGAGGCTTTGAGGGGTCTGAAGAAACAAGTAGAATTAGCTGCCATGTGGTCCCTCTAAGTAGAGATGTGCCCCAGGATCAAAAAGGTTCAGAACCTCACCTGAAAAGTCATGTTATCCCTGTCATACAAAGGTTAGCTGCTTTTAAAATCGCTTTTAATTAGCTCATAGGATTTTCACAGCCCCTGGAAACAGGTGTGGCCCAGATGGAGAATCAAGTTTGAGCTTTAGGCTTCAAAATCAAATTAAGAGGAGAAGCTGTTTCCAGACCTCTGGCCCATTGCTCTTTCTACTGCACCCCTTTGGTAGCTCTGTTTGAGGAAGCTGAGAGACAGGATTCTACTCTCCAAGTCTCTGCCTAAGCTTTTAATCTCTAAGTCAAACACTCATGGTTCTGCTGTATCTAAAATGAAACCAGTTCACTTTAGTTTCTATGCTGAGCCATCTTTCAAATCTTAGCAAAAGCTTTTTGTCACCCGAGAGTCCCTTCTGGGGTACTCTCAGGAACTTTGGCATGCTATGTTCTAGGCTCCCAACATTATCATATTAGATTATAATTACTAACTAGCCTTTGCCAGAGGTGGTGAGCCCTGAAATAGAGCATCTGTGGATTTGAAGATGATTGGTAATCAGTTTTTCCTATTACAAACAGTATGAAACTTCATTGTTTAAGCCCTGATGCATCTTAAGCATTAAAGTCTTATTGTCTTAAAGCTCACAGCTGGAGCCCGGCCGGACGTGGCTCAGCGGTTGAGCGTCGACCTGGGATCTAGGCAATCAGGGTTTGATTCCCGGTCAGGGCACATGCCCTGGTTGTGGGCTCGATCAATGACTCTCTCATCATTGATGTTTCTGTCTCTCTCCCTCCTCCTTTCCTCTCTCTGAAATCAATATATATTAAAAAAATAAAAATAAAAATAAAGCTCACAGCTGGGGATGGGACAAGTCATAAGTTTGAACGCAAATGCCCATTTATTCTGGTTACCAAATGCCTTGCTTTTAAGATGGTCTCAGGAAATCTCCAGAACATGCTGCTTGGCTGTTTGTCTAGGTCGCCAAGGATATACACCCATAGGCATGTCATAATTTGTGCATACGTAGGAGTTAACAGGAATGTCTGTGCCCCAAAGATTCTTCAGCAGCAGCCGTTTATTGGTTTCACTGAAATCTTATAGGTTCTAATCCACATTATGAAGATGCTACCCGTCAGGGTTTCAGGTCACACGGCTCTTCTTTAAAGCACTCTAGACAAGGCCAACGAAAGGTAAGGCATAATTACCTTCTTCCAGCAGTGTTTTCTCCGGGAGCACCACCACTGTATAACCAACACCTCAAAACTTTTCAGCTTAGAAATAAGATGGAAGCTGGACAAGTTGGCAGCAGAGGTACCTGCGGTCCCCGCTGCCTCCCACAACCACAAAGTTACAACTAAAACACAGAACTATCACTCAGAGCCTCCTGAAATCCAGCTGAACAGAAGGCCGAAAAGGAGGGAGCTGAAGCAGCACCGAGACTGGTGGGAGGGGTGGAGACGCGGGCGGATCGGGGCTGAATGGTGGAGATGCAGCTGCGGGCCCACACCCGGTGCGGCGTGTAAACCCGGGAGGGAATCTTGGTGGTGGAGGTTTCCCGGAGGAGCGAGGCCCCCAGCCCAGGGCTCCAGGGCCGGGAAGAGACATCCCCACAGCTTCGGGCTGTGAAACCAGCAGGGACTGGGGCTGAGGGATGCAGAGGATGCGGGAGCCCCTGCAGCTCCTCTTAAAGGGCCCGCACACGGACTCACTTGGACGCTCCCTCTGAGCCCAGCGCCGGGCAGCAGCCGGAAAGGACCCGGGGCCCTCGGGGAGGAACTAACCTGCCTGAGATCCGGGCGAGAGCTGGAGGGGCGGCTTCCTCCCAGGCACAAGAGCTGGCAGAAGCCGTCGCTCCTTTGGCGAGTCCTCCCTGCACACAGCCGGCAGGCAGGCGCCATACTTGAATCGCCAGCATCTGACTCCCACCTTTGGCCCCGCCCCATGACTCCCGGAGGCCCCGCCCCTCCCCACCTGCAGCTCATCCAGGCTGTTTCCAGGGGCTTTTCTCTGCAAGTGGCCTCTCGAGCCTCATGCTTAGGACTTTCCTAAAATCTCTCAAGTTGCAGCGGGCCCCCTATGGCTTGATAAGCGGCC